ATAGTATATATATATATATATATATATATATATATATATATATATATATATATATATATATATATATATATATATATATATATATATATATATATATATATATATATATGGAATCGACAACCCAATTAACAAATTATAAGTAGTCCTTTTATGATCTTTAATGTTAAAAAGGATGTCCGATCAAAATCAATCAACCATTGATGTTTTCGAAGCTGATCATGGAATACTCATTGGGTCCTGGAACTTTCTCATAATACATAATTGTACATTATCCAAATATATTAGTGTTTTCTTCTATATTAAATGTGCACTAAATATTTATTAGGTTATTATTTCTTATAGGCCTAACTCAAATAATAATTGCTGTTTCTTTCCATCACATATATGTATGTATCTATCTAAATTTTCTAGATGACATAGATATCATTTGATAATGCAATTATTGTAAAAAATGTAACAAAATATATCATCCACCAATAGTTGCGTAAAACGTGGATGCCATGTGAACACCATATGCATCTCGCATGAGAGTCATAGGGATGTCATGTGGGTCACACATATCAGTGCAATCACGTGTATAGATTGATACTTACATGATGATGTGACCTCATTACATGAGTCTATTGAGGATGCGTCTTGCAAAAAATCCTTTCCATCATCAACAAAAAAAAAAATAGATATAGATAAAGACACTGTCGATCTAAATTTAAATTTAGCATAATATCATAATATCAATAACATACTAAATGACATTAGCAATTTCCTGAATAAATATTTTTTTGTAAATTGATAATTTTATATTTATCCCTTTCGATTTAAGTGTACAGTGAAAAAAAATTAAAGGGCACATAAGCATTTTAAATTTTATTTTAAAAAAATAATCTTAATAGTGTTTATTTGTTAAGGATTTAAATATATACAATATATATATATATATATGTAATTTTATTTTCTGTATTTTCTTTTTTGTTTAAGGTTAACATGGTCAATTATGTCAACGACCATTTCAACGGCCACTTCTTCTTGCCGCCCTTCGCGGTAGACCCAACTCCCAAGATGGGAAACACTCGCCACCACCACCCATCTCTGCCTCTCCCCGCACATCACCAATAATAAAAACAAAGCAGCAGCAGCAGCAGTCCGAAGAAGAAAATGTTAGGAACGTAATTAGAAGGGCCTCCTCCTCCTCCTCCTCCTCATCTTCTTCCACTCGTTGACTCGCATCCATCGGCCACCTCGATCGGCCGCGTTCCGAGTGCGAGGTGTCAGGCAACGACCCCCCACCCCACCGCGCTGTCACCTTGAGGAGGAATCGGAGATGGCTCCCCTTTTGGCCATGACAACGCATTCCGTTCCGTCGTCGCCTCTTTCTTCTGCTTCTCCTGTCTCGCTCTGAGCGTTTCATTTGGACGCCTCTTCTTCCTGTTCTTGACTGGTCCTGTGATATTGGAGGTAGGCTTGCTTCTGTTCAGAACAATTGATCTTTCTTTTGGCTGTTCTTCGAATCGTTTTGTGTTCGCTACATCTCTCAGATCGCCACTGCATCCGCCTGGGTTCGATTCAAGCAACGCCGGTGTGAAGTGGGAATAGTAATTCCGAGCTGAGCTTGGTACTTTCTTCTCCTGTTCTTCGTGGTTGGCTGCTAGAACAGTCTTCCTCTTAATCTTCTGTGTTCGATCCTTCCTGCCATAAGCATTTTGAGTTCTTCTCCTGTTCATGCAATCCAGATTTTTGGAGATTCCTTTTGCTTCATCAGATAATAATTATATCTTGTGGCTCTTGGGACGGTCTGCTTAATCTTCTGTCTTCAGTCCTTCCTATCATAAGCTTTTGGAGTTTGTTCTCCTGTTCCTGCAATTCAGGTTTCTGCACATGCTTAGTGAGAAGCATTTACTTTCTGAAAGCTCAAACACAAATATGACGATATATCCTTACACCATCGGTGATTTTTGTTGTTGCATGAATCAGTGATCTCTATATGTATCCAATACAGTTCTTGCTCATTGTTTTTAAGGTTAGAAGAGCTCACATAGTACCAGAGGCAGAGGCAGACATGGGCACAAAGATGAAGAAGGGTATCTTAAAGCCGCTGAAATATTTTTCCCAAATATTTGGTATGCAAAAACACTCTTGGATCTCCTTGTGATTGGTTTCTGATGGTGCACGAGTCTTCAACTGAGAAGCAATTCTTTCACCACAGACAAGGAGGAAGCTGACATGCAGATTGGGTTTCCAACTGATGTTAAACATGTGGCACACATAGGATGGGATGGACCCAGTGTTAGTTCCCCAAGCTGGGTAAATTTAGTAGTCCTAACTGAGGCCAGAAAGGAATTCATGTTTTGGATGCTGTTCATTGGTTTCTGTTCACAGCTTTGATCTCTCATTTCAACTGTGCATAGATGAAGGAGTACCATTCAGCACCACTCGGCTCTTCCTGTGGAGAAGATGGCAGGGAAAGCTCCCCCCCAGAGTCATGGGGCTCTCAAGGTTAGAATTGCTCCCAACTGATTTCTTCAAGAATGCAACACCCAATCTAGATTTTGCTACATGAAAGCATCAAAATTATTTCTATAACCATCTTCATCTTCTCGTGTATCATTCTTGAGATTTGCCTGATGGTAAGTCAATTAACCTGCTTCTTCACCGCTTCGACTACGTGAAGATTGAAGTCGATAAGCTCTATGATCAGTTTCATCTGGTCATCATCATACACATCAGAGCTTCAATCTTCCTTCTAGTAATGTCACTCTTGAGATTAGTCTGAAGCAAGCCATTAAGACCACACCTTACCCCCTTTAACCACATGAAGATTGAAGTAGTGTTTCATGAATGAAAACGATGCAGATCAGCTGATCACCAGTTTTATGCACAATTTAGTGTAGCTATCATCAAAATATGCTCCATGATCAAGTACATCTGGCCATCATCTGCTTCTTCACCACTCGAACTACATGATGCAGGTAGCTGATCACCAGTTTAGTAGCAGAACATCAAAGAAGACAAAATCTAGGAATCAGACTATCCTGTTCTGCATTACTATAAATAACAGAAGCTGAATTACATTTTATGCAGATTCTATTGATACAAAAAAGGAATTTGGCATCACAAAGTTAATTGCAACCCAACTATTTCTGCTTCAACTACTGCTGGGAATTTGTGTAGCTGATGCAGAGTTCAGCAGTAGTTCACCAAAACATGCATCAGTGCAGGCTACACATCTCACTTTGTGGTTTGGGTGATGTGATGATACCTTGCAATCGCTGCTGCAGAGTTTGCAAGCGGAGGGATGGAAGACTCATCAGTTCGACAAGCGGCGGGGCGCTCAAAGCCCAGCTCTTCTGCAGTCGAGCCATCTCCCGACTCCCCCGACTTGCTCCCTGCGTCCACCAAACCCAAGCATTCAAGACGGCACCAATCGGATGGAAGCATGTCGGGCGACTCCGCCGAAGCGCCGCGGCGCAGCCGGAAGCCACGCAAGAAGGAAGCGGCCGGGCCGTCGGACTCACCGGGGCAAGACATGCCAGCCATCCCCAAGCAGTCACACCGGAAGAAAAACAAGGGCTCTTCGAGCACCGGGGGCTCGGTGAAGAGCTCCAAGTCGAAGGCCCCAACGTCGGCGCCGCCCGCAGGTGAGGAGAGCAACACCAAGCCGTCGTCAGAGGCGGCGGAGGAGGACTACAGGGTGCAGTGACCAAAGAAGCTGCTGCATCGCTGCTGGTTTGGTTGAGGCCGAGAAACAATGTTAATGTTGAGTGTTATGAGATAGGAAACACCACAAGGGAATTGTATGTTGTGAACAAAAGCCAACTAATCTATGATTCTTTGCATGATGCCATTGTCTGCACTCTGTTCTTGGCTTCAGAAGACACTATTCATTATTTATTCTAGGATGGTAGGAAGATCTTATGATGAAATATCATTTTGATTATTTATTTATTTTATTAAAAATATTATTCTTATATCTAAATATAACCGGATTTTGATACACCTGGCTCCTTTTATTAAGGATTGAGAATTCAAGATCTTATCGAACAAATTTTTAAAAGCGTCAACTAACTAAACTCGTAGAACCTTGATTATTGATAGTAAAATGTAAGATATATATATGTGGCTTCTTCTATTGTTCTCTTACTAGTATGAACTTTTACCAAAAATTAATTGATATTTGGGATCGCTTGATAATGTTCCAACTATTTTAGATCGACAATATGAATATTATATAAAATAATATCATTAATCAAATTTAAAATATTAAAATATTTATTTATAGTTGATAATACCTAAATACTCATGTTGAAACAATACAGCATGCTACTGTTTTTAAATTTGTGATTACAGCATGCTATTTGGTCAGTATGCTCTTTAATACTGGAGATTCCATAAAATCTGTGATTACAGCATGCTATTTGGTCAGTAGATCACCATCTAGTGCCACTGATTATAACACTCCAGAGGAGGTATGTTCTGGAACCCTACAGAAACTCCCACTTGAAAACATTTGGTTGCCTTATGCTCATGTTTTTAAATGTATATTTTTGAGTAATGCACATGGCATAAGAGGTACAGATTATTGTGTGTTGAACAGAGATCTTCTAGACTAATATCATAAGATGTTAGTGTTAAATAAGTCTGCTATTTTGCATGCCAAGGCGTCTAGCCAAATAAGTGGAGATCATTCTCCCGAAGAGCATGTGAAGTTTTGAGATATGCAAAAGATCATTCTGTGAAGCTAGAACTTAGGTGTTTAAATGTATATTTTTGAGATATGCATCTGGGTTAAGAAGTACAGATGATTGTGTGTTGAACTGAGATCCTCTAGACAACTATTATTAGCAAAGATGTTACTGCTGATAAGTTTGCTATGTTGCAAGCCAAGGCATCTAGTCAGACAAGCGGAGATCATTCTGCAAAAGAGCATGCAAAGGTTGAGGAGGCAGATTATGTCTTCAGCACATGAAAAGACATTTATCTAAGACATGAAAGGAAAATAGAATCATTTACTAGGTACCACATAGGTGAGATGACTGGTGGAAAACCTGAAGAGCTAACACTACTGAGAAGAAAGAAATATTGAACTACAAACCCGCACGACTACAAAACACAAGACAAGAAAATCTCTTACCTCTTAGAAAAGAAGATAAATAACCATCCAAAACACTGATGCCAAACACATGTTCAAAGGGTCTGCATTCATATCAGCATATCCGCAGTTTCTAAACTGAACAATCTAAGAGTCCTCTTTAAGGATCTTGTGCTCGATAAACACCTTGCGCAGTTTGGTAGCTGCCTCAGTCATTCCAGAGGCTGCAACTGCTCTAACTAGTGATGTGTATCCTGCTTTACTGGGTTTACTATATCTTGATACCATTATACTTACAATCTCAATAGCAGTATCTAGCTTTCCATTTCTGCATAGTGCCTGTATCACAAGGGTAAAAGTGCTGCCTCTAATCCTGCAGTTGATCTTAACCATCTCTTGTAGCATCTCTACTGCTTCATGCACCATGCCTTGCTTGCAAAATCCCATAACTAGAGAACCATAAGTGATATCATCAGGAGTAATACCATCATTGACCATCTCATCAAACAAAACCATTGCTTTCTTTATCTCACCCTTCTTTGCTAATCCATCTATCAAGGTGTTATATGATATGACAACCAGAGAATATCCATTATCCCTAAGACTATGAAGTATATTTAGAGCCTCTTCTATCATGTCCACTTTACACATTGCTGCAAGAAGGGTGTTGTAAGTGACTATATCTGGGGAACATCCCTCATTTAACATTTTATGCAAGACATCAATTGCCCGATCTAGAATCTGGTATTTGCACAAGCTGTTGATTAAGATATTGTATGTAACCACAGTTGGAGGGTATGAAGCTTCCTTCATGATAAAAAGCATATCATCAGCTTCAGCCCACTTTCCCTTAATACAGAATGAGTGAAGTAAGGTGTTATAGGTGACTGCATTGGGCTCCAGACCATGTGACATAAGGCCACCTACAACCATTGCCACATCCTCAAATTTACCCCTTTTGCATATCAAATTGATAAGAGAATTAAAGGTCACAAGGTCAGGATGGCATCCGTCAAAGGCCAAATCTTCCATAGCATTCATGGCTCGCCGAATACCACAGTATTTGCACACGAGTTCGAGAAGAATTGTGTAAGAAATGAGATATGGCGGATAACCTTTCCTTAACTGATCTTTCCAAAACCAGATTGCCTCATCATACTTACCATGCTCAAACATGGACCTAAATAAAGTGTTAAATGTAATCACGTCTGGAGGGCAACCACAGAAACCCATATCTTCAACTAGTTTGATTGCAGAATTCAGCTGACCTCTCCTGCAGAGACCACCGATTAATTTGTTATACGTGATTATGTCTGGAACCCCACCAGATAAAATCATCACCTGAAGAACACGAACGGCCTTCTCAATCCTATCAACATTGATCAAACCACGAATCAGGTTCACGCATGATTGGAGATCTGGTACCTGACTTAACCGAGCCATAACATCAACCAAATTGCAGGCTTCCATGAGTTTTCCATTCTCACAGAGATTACAAAGGACATCATTATTGGAGGTCTCATCATGCTCCACATGATACCCATCAAGGGTCGAGCCACTTGCATTGGAAGTTGATAATCGCAGGGGTTTAGCATAATTGACTGGTGTTGCCTTTTCTGAATTATAGTTGCTTTTGTTGCTTCCATCAACCGTCCCCGCAGGGCCAACTCGGAGAGCTGCAGAACTATCAAGCTGTATGTCATGCTTAAGCTTGAGCTTCTTCGAGTAATCCACATGAACCACAGAGAGCGCCGTAGATGAACATGCCTGAGAACCATACGCATGGATTGAGCGAAATGGGAATGATGATCCATAAGAGCAACAAATGTCACTCGCGCACTGCTGCGTGAACACCATCTTCACCATATCATCTATTCCAGTTGAAAAATGAGATTACTGACGCTCCATGTAATCAAGTCATCCTTCTTATCATATTACTCCCCAGTGCTTGAACAAGATGACCACCATATGGAACAAATCAACGATTAACTGTTAAGAATAAAATATATACATAAAATACCGTCGATCAATCTTCTTCACGAAACATGATAGAAATCAATAGACCGAGAAGGGAAAGCTGCTCTTTTTTCTATCAATACCAAAAAGTCACAATGACCCTTAAAAAAAAGAACAAATTTTGGGAGCTCGACACTAGAAAAATCCACAATGCCAAAATAATCGATACCAAAGAGGCGAATTTTAGTTCCTCATTGTAACTACAAATCAAGCCCACGTATTTTGTCACGAGAATTAATCCCTTTTTTTTTCACGGAATCAGGAGAGGTGGGGAAGGCCTAAAAGAGCATACCCACATCGAAGATATCGAAAGACTAGCACGATGCTGTTGTAAGAAACCCCAAAATTGTTCGGAAAAATCGCATTTAGCCAAGAACCAGTAGCATCAAACCCAGCAGAGAGATGGGGCAGAACACAATACGTACACCATCCAGCGTCCTGTGAGTCCGTTGTGGCTTCGAGTCGATGCTCCGCTTTCGGTTCGGCGAAGAAAGGAAGGGGACTCCCAGGGCCGTTAGGGTTTTAATCATTCCACAAGGGATATGGGCGGCCTCCCCGAGGTCGGTGGGGCTTTACGACTGAGGGGTAGGGGTGCAGCTTCGTGATTCGTGCTGATCAACACCCCCCATCGCCATGGTTCATCAAGACGGCGGCGTTCATATCAAATCAATCAACATTGGTAATAGTCGTTTCTTTGATGTAAAGTTGCGTGTCTCATTTAAGATAGGGATAGGGATAGGGATTCTTAACCTCAACAATGTCACATATTCTTTTAAATTTCCAGATTAAGATATGTCTCAACATAGTCAATTTGAAACGATTTGAATTGTGTCATATCCGTGTTCGCATGAATTCTTACTAGAGGCAAATCAATTGGAAGTGTGTTACGCCTAAAATATTAATACGAGGGTGTTCTAATGCAATCACCAATAGTTGAAAGTTTAAAACTTTATTTATCCCACTCAAACTATATTGATTTACCAAACCCTTTAATGAGCATTAATATATAAAAAAAATGTAAAAATAATATATATATATAAAGAAAAATTAGAAATTAAAATCCTGATATACGATATTCTGTGCATTTCCCCAGCTCAAGATATAATTTTTTATTTTTATTTTAAAAATAAAAGAACGATAATAAAAAAAATTAAAAAGTTAAAAAAGTTAAAAAAAATGGAGGGGTTTAAATAGAGTTTTTTTTTTGTCTAAATCGAAGGCAGCCATGTGTCAATACGCACGTTGAACCTTTGCGAATAGACACATAAGGGTAACACATGACTAAGATAAAATCAGCTAAATCCATGACAAATGGTATCAAAGTAGGACAAACACATATAAAAATACTTTGCATGCAAACATGTGGGATCTAACGGAGCTGCGTTGAGGGTAGGCAGTACGCACGAAGGAAACGAGCATTGAGATATAGAAAAAAGGAATCACTCAAAAGAGTGACAATCCAATATTGACATTTAAAGAAATGACTAACCATTCATACGAGAGACATCACGAGAACAAATGGATTGGGAAGAACCCCTAGCGCACAAAAGTTATGATGGCTAAGTTTGAGCTATGGCTTGATATTAGCAACCAAACTTAATGGTGCTCAAGATAAGCATGATGTTTGATAAAGGATGAGACCATGTAAAGTGTGATGAGTTGCTCCACAATTGAAAGAGTTGTGGAAAGCTCACTAAGGTGGGGAATTGCTAATTTAAAAAATTCAATACTCATACAAAGGATTATATACGGACGATGGACTATTTGTAGTCATTCCAAGGCAACCAAAACTTGGCGCTATGGATCATTGAGACTTTCTCATCAGTACGGGAATGATATATCCGTAGAAGGCTAGAGTGTGTAGTAAATTCAACATGTTGTTAGGCCTTAAGAGGCATAGTAGGGGCTGTATTAACGAATAGTCATAATCTAGCAAGTGCACTTGCATGGGTGAAATATTACACAATTTGTTCAACAAGACGAAGTAGTTCAAGGGGATGGTGGTCTCCAAAACTTCCCGAGGAAATAATGCAAAGAGAAAATTTACTTCAAATAAGATAAATATACAAGAGAGATAAGTCTTGTTCTTTATGAGAGAGAATCATATATAACAGACAACACATATTGAAGAGATATACCTTAAGACAACAACTCCGTAAAATCTCAACGGACCGAGTGAGCGGTGAGAAGTCATCATATAATCTTGCATGATGTAATACATTAGTGGATGCATTATGAGTTCAATTAGAGGAGCGACCCAAGATAACACCAAATGAATGCACACTTAGAGTTGATGTGAAAATTGACATCAAATGAGGGCTAACCCATGGAATAGTGGGATCAAGTGCTATCATCAACTTAATACAAACTGAGTAGCAAAGTAACTTAGATAGAACTTTGTGAAATACCTAAGCCATATAAAGGTAGTCAACACAAAAAGAAAAACATAGAGCGGAAGTGCTAATCATAGGTGTCTTGCAAGAATGATGACACGTGTGATATGCGTTAGGACCATTTCGGCACTAAGAGAGGGGGGGGTTGGGTGAGTTAGTACTTTTGTAAAAATTATGATGATTCGAAACTTTATTCGATAAAGCTCGTGTCGAAAAGACGTTAACTTGAAAACACGTTCGTAACCGTAATAAGAGTAGTGGGAGTAAGAAATCAGTTTGCAATGTAAATGAAAAGTATAAAGTAAATGTAAACTAGATTTTATAGTGGTTCGGTCGTCGTGACCTATGTCCACTCCTGATTCCTCTTCACTCGAAGCCATCGGCTTTCATTACCGATCTTATTTCAATGGGCAAAGATCAACTACCCTTACAACTCTTTCTTATTTTCATAGGTTTAGGAGATAACCTTTACACCTCTCAAGGTAACCCTCACACACCTCCCTTAAAACAACAACTAAGCTCAAGGATGAGGGAACTCAACTTTTCAACACTTTTATCTCAGAATCACAGCCCCTTTCTACTCAATTTCTTGCTTCCCCAAGCAAGAAAGAGTGGGATATTTATAGATCCTAAATGACTTAAAAAATGGAGCCAAAAAATATCTCATCCGAGGTTTCCCGGGTCCTGATGGTACCACCGCCTATGCTGGGCATTACTATTGCTTGCAACACTAACACTGGGTGGTATAATCGCCCAGATTGATGGTACCACTGCCCAGTTTGGTAGTGTCACCGCTTGGGCCAACTATGGGTCACTAAATGGGCCTCTCACTTAGCCTAAAACAACCTTAATTCGAGCCTAATTTGCCCCTAATTAAGTTAGCCTAATTACATTATAAATCAACCTAATTAGAACTAAAACTACTTCAATCTAGAGAATTATTATAAAGCATTAATCAAATGTTGTCCGACATATCATTGGTTCATCCGGTACTTCATCCGACTCTTCGATGCATTGTCCTCTCCTTCGGTATATTGCCCAATTGGCATGTTGTCTTCTCGCAACATATGATCTCCTTAGTGCAATGTCCGATCTTCTTGGCTCGATCATCGAACTCATGGCATGAAGCCTTCTGTTGACATGTCGACCGATCCTTCAGCTCAACGTCTAATCTTCTGACATGTTCCACTTCGTCCTAACATTGATTCTTCGTACTTTAATCAAATTATCTCTCCATGATCGAAGCTAGTCCTGCGTCACTCAAAATACATATAAGATCATAAACTTATCAATTGATTTCATCATCAAAATTTGAGATTAAATAATCTCCCCTTTTTTAATGATGACAACCAATTGATGACGGAGTATAACTAAACTCCCCCTATAAATATATCATATTGATACAACCTCAACATGTCATATCAAAGCAAGTCATTACATTATCATTGCATACATCATTCAAAATGTCAAATAATAATTTCAAAACATCATCATATATTCTCCCCCTCCGTCATCAACAAAAATGAGAAGTGCAATTAGCAATTTTTTAGACTTGCAAGTTAGCAATTTAGTAATTTTTTCATCATTTTGCAAGATAGTGAATTATCAAGTTTTAATTCTCTTTCAAGTTTTGAGGCTTTGCTTTTCTTGAGATGGAGCAAATTAGCATTTTGCTTGTCTTTTGAGATGTGCAAGCTGGCAAATTCTTTTTTCTCTTTTGAGAAGTGCAAGCTAGTAAGTTTTTTTTCCTTTCCAATGTGCAAGCTAGTAATCTTTCTCCCCCTATGTCAATGTCAAAAAGAAAGGGAATAATACAATGTTGTAAATAATTTTCCTTTACATCAATTTTCAAACATGACATAAGGTATACAACCAATACAAAAGAATTGTTCATATGAAAATCATGACATGAAAGATATCAATATCAAATATCATGAAGGATCAAGTCATGATTCATTTTGATAAGTCATTTCTTTTGTAAATAGCAAAAAGAAATCTTAGGATATCAAATATCAAGTAATCTTTAAAGGAATTCTTAAGTCGTCAATTTTGAGAAATCAAGAGAAAAATCATGATTCATAAATATTCTCTTTAACAAAAGGAAACATAGGAGAACAAGGATCTTGATTCACAAAAAAAAATCTCAAGTATCAAATTTTGAGAAATCAAGAATTTGATATAGATAAGACTCATTCAAATTCAAATTGTCAAAACATCAAAATCACTTTCAAGAGATTCAAAATGACATAAATAGATTTATCAATTTTTTTATTAAAAAATCGATAAGATAAAGATAGAGAAATTTTAAAAATGCATTCCTTGTTTAGTTGTTTGAATTCATGTGATAGAGTTTATACGAGCATACCCAAGTTTTTTTTTTAATGTCAAAATCATGCATCATGTTTGAAATCAAAAAATAAGATTTATCACAAGAGTCATCCAGATCAATAAATCATAAATCATGAAAATCATCATTACTTCAAATCATCATGCATTGTTAAACAAGAGTCATCCAGACATTAAACATCAAGCATTTTCAATCAAAATTATTTTGTTTGTTGTCGTAATATATTTTTCTTCTTAAGTGAATCTAGTTCTTCATACTTAATACAATGAGTTAATATGCAATTATCATACTTAATTTAAAAAAAAATTCAAAATCACTGGAAAGAGAAGTATGATCCCCCTTTTATATTTCTAAAAACAACTTATGAAATAAATTTTATATTTCTTACTAATTAATTTAAAAATAACTTATGAAATACATCAAGTAATTTTATAGTAAGGTAAAGAGGTTTAAGTTGGGTTACCTCATTGTTGAAAGTCACCAAAGCGTAGTTTGTCACCTCGTCTTTATTGGTTTGTACCTCATCTTCGGATATACTCGTTTCGTCCTATATCACCTTGAGTGCTTTCTTCTTCTTTTGTACGAGCACATTCTTCTTCAGTTGTAGACATTCACTTTCGAAGTGCTCTGGCCGATTGCATTCATATCAAGTTATTTTATTCTTTTTAAGTTCATTTTTATTCTTTGATTCTTCTTTTATAAGTTTTTTAAATTTTATTATAAGGAGTTCAAGATCATCAACATCATCATCATCACTTGAGTTTTCTCTTAAGTGATCTTCTATTGTTCGTAGTGTCAAATCCTTCCTGTTCTTTAAAATGTTGCTCTCATATTTATCATGTTCGATACAAGTCATTTTATAGGTCATTAAAGA